ATATTTCTATTGTCTGTGCTCTTTCCTTGACATTTTTTGGGGGTACTTTCAACATGTTGTTTGTGGTGTCCAGGCTTTTTTCTTTCGTTCAGCGTCGGTGGGCGTGGGTGTTTAAAGAAAAAGTCAGCTGTCTAACCAGCAAGCCTCCAAACTCAACGTAACTCAATCCAACTCAACCCAACATACAAATTGAGGCAAACAAACAGATAGAAGAACAAAAACGTGGTCCAAGACTTGTTCATTGGCACGGAAATGTTGTGGTTTGGAACGCAGCGAAGCTTAAGTTCTCTTAACGCTCGTGGCCTTGAGGCAGAGGTCCCATGAGTAGCTGGAGGTGCTATGAGTAGCTAGATACGACATGGGTAGCTGGAGGTGCCATGGGTAGTAGGAGGTCCCATGGGTAGCAGGATGTGCCATGGGTAGCTGGAGGTGCTATGAGTAGCTGGTGGTGCCATGAAAAGCTGGAGGTCCCACGAGTAGCTGGAGTGCCATGGGTAGCTGGAGGTGCCATGAGTAACCTGAGGTCCCATGAGTAGCTGGAGGTGTCATGGGTAACCTGAGTTCGCATGAGTGAATAGCCTGTTGTCCCACGAGCAGCTGTAGATGCCGTGGGTAGCTGGATGTGCCCTAAGTAACTGGAGGTCATCTGGGCAATCTGAAATGCCATGAGTGAGCAGCCGGAGGTGAACGCGTATCCAGAGGTCCCACGCGTAGCCGAAGAGTACCATGAGTGCGTAGCTGGAAGTCCCATGAGTGACTCGAGTACTTTGAGAATGATTGCCCTTCACGATGACAAAGAAGAATCGCCATTGATCCAACGACGGTTCGGGGGGGGGGGGGGGGGCGTTCGGGGGCCTTCCAGGAACGACCATCGATCTGGCTTCAGGAATGCCCGTAGCGCTTGGCCCGACCTGGGGCGTAATTGGAGCTGATGGGCGGGGGGTGGGGGGCGAAGAGGAGGGTGGGGGCGAAGGAGGGAGGGAGGGAGAGAAGGAAGGAATGTAAAAATGCTAATGATAATTATGATTGTGATAATAATGAAAAAATAAATGATGGTGATACTGATGCTAAGTAATAATAAATACTTATAATAGCAAGGATGATAATTACGATAATAATGATAATGAAAATGAATGTTGATGATATTGATGGTAATAGTGATAATGATACTCATAATAGTAATGATAATGAATATGATAATGCAATTACAATAATCAAAATAACAATAATGATAGTAACGAAATTAACAATGAAAACGGGAGTGTCGCCAAGCGTGTCCCGGGAGCGAGGGGCGCGCGCGAGGGCCCGCGTCCCGACCGGATACGGACACCTTCGCCAGGATCTCCGAGTGACGTCATTTTATCCTCGAGAGCGTTCTGCAGGTGTTGAGTCACCGGTGATGACGACGACGACGACGACTCACCGGCGGTGCGGAAGAAGGGCGTTTCGTTAAATAAGCTGTGCGTAAGTGCCGTGAAATTCGTATCCGGGGGAAGGCCAGGGGCGGAGGAAGGGCGTCGAGGGGCGAATAAGGGACACAAAGGCGCTTATCGGGGCGCGTGTGGGATTCGAACCCCCTCGTGTGAAAGTCGAGATCGTCATTTGTTTATTGATCCCGTTCGGCGTAGCTTTCGTGGATTTGAGGAATACGCATCTGAATTATGGATAGTAATCACTTTAATGGTTTTCGCATATTTTGTTAAACAACACGGAGGGGTAGGAAGGGGAAAGGGACGGAGGGGGTGGGGGGAATACCCACGGACGCGCTCAAAGACTTACTCACACGCACCAAGTGAAACAGGAAAAAAAATTCAGCTCGTGTGAAGTGAATTATTGAATAGGTTTGTCATCGTCGCGTTTCTGTTTCCTCTCGAGAGATTTCTTTGTTTTTGGTTTAAATTTGGTAACTCCCATTTCCACATTTGGGAAAAGCTGTGTATGGGAGTCTGTCGAAACTGATGTCATGGCATGTCATTATTTTTTTTTAATAAGTACCGACAATGCCATGTCCTCCTTTTTTTCTTTTCTTTTTTTGTTAAGTCTAATATTTAAATCGAATCTTTTGGGAAATTATACGTAATTAACTGAGGTCTTACGCAACCTTCATCAGCCCTTTAATATAGAACGCTTAAATAACATGTCCGCACGCCTCATGACATGACCGCATACCTCCCAAGTTTTATGAGGACGAGAACACAAGCAAGGTCAGTGACGCGAACTTCACTTGCAAAAAAAAAGAAAAAGAAAAAAAAGAAAAAGAAAAAAAGAAAGAAAGAAAGAAAAAAGAAAGAAACAAAAGAAAGAAAAAGAAAGAAAGAAAAGACAAAGAAAGAAAAAAAGAAAGAAACAAAGGAAAAAAAGAAAAAAAAGAAAGAATAAAAGAAAAAAAAGAGAAACAAAAAAAGGAAAGAAAAGAAGAGCGAGTTATGATTGGGTAAACCCGGGCAATAACATCCCGCGTGAAAAATTCATGGAACGTCATCGACTCCGCCATCTGGTCGTGGGGTCGTTTTTGGCCTGGGTGGGCGCGATGGGGTTCGTTGTGGAGGGCGGTTGTGGTTGTATAATTTTTTTTGTATTGTCTCCTAATTATGATTCTTGTTGTTATTGTTGTTATTATTGTTATCATTGTTATCATCATCACCTACAGTCCAGCTCTCTCTCTCTTTCCTCCTCCACCTCTTCCTTATCCTTGTTATCATCATTATTTTCATCAATTTTCATCCTCCTCTTCCTCCTCCTTATCATCATCATCATCATCATCATCATCATCATCATCATCATCATCATCATCATCATCATCATCATCATCATCATCATCATCATCATTATCATCATCATCATCATTATCATCATTATCATCATTATCATCATTTTCATCATCATCATCATCATCACAATTATCAATTTACGCTAACGAGCGTTTTATAATAAATATGGGGGGAGGGGGCTGACTCCACGTAGCCGCGAATGACACGGAGCGGGCAGGTGACTAACAGGGCGGGAGGAGGTGGGGGGGGGGGACGTCACTCGGGGAAGTAAACGTGGCGCCTCCATGTCTCAGGTTGGTCGTTGATTTTCTCCTATTTCTGTAAAAGTTTATTATTCTCTGGAATATGAGGTTTAAGCGAGTCAGCAGAGTTTTTTTTTTTGTCTGTTTCGGTTTCTTTGGTGTTTTTTTCTTTCTTTAACTCGCTTTTTTTCGATTTTCTCTTTTTTATATTCTCTTCTCTTTTTTCTCTTTTCTCTATCTATCTTTCTTCTTTCTCTCCCATCTTCTCTCTTTCCTCTCCTCTCCTCTTTTTCGATTTTCTCTTCTCTTTCTTTATTTTTTTTTTCTCTTTCCTTCTTTCTTCCCTCTGCTGTCTCTCTCTCTCTCTCTCTCTCTCTCTCTCTCTCTCTCTCTCTCTCTCTCTCTCTCTCTCTCTCTCTCTCTCTCTCTCTCTCTCTCTCTCTCTCTCTCTCTCTCTCTCTCTCTCTCTTTCTCCCTCCCTCCCTCCCTCCCTCCGACTTTTCCCCTTCCCTTTCCTCCCTTTGTGGTCTTTTCTCTCTCCCTTTCATCCATCTCTTTCCTTCCTCCTCTCCCTCCCCCCCTCTTCTCCCCTCCCCCCTTCCCCCAATCATTCCGAATTCCCGAAAGGTGAAATCCTCGTCATCGGCTGCGGTTCCAGAGGTCTTGGCGAGGCTCGACTTTGGTCCGCCCTTGGCCGCTCCTCAGCCGGGTGTGACCGCCAGCCAGCCTCCGCGCGGGCGTTTTATTATTTTTTTCTCTCTCTTGTGGTTATTTGAATGTTGTTTTTATTGGCAATGTCCTTCTGGCATCGTTCGTTGGCGTTTTGGTATCGCACGAGGATTGTTTTGTTTTTTTTTGTTTTGTTTTTTACATCGCGTATTTGGGCAAATTTGTGGTTTCGCTCTTTGGGTTTCTGTTAGAGTTCGATGGGTTTGGTTGAGAAATATCCCCTTTTTTTCTTTTTTTAATCTTGGGGGAGCTAAGGAGGCATAGAAAATGAGATGAAAAACGCAACTCCGGAAGGGAGGATTGGACAGATTTTGATACTCTTCTTCAGGCAGATCTAAAGCATTACTATTAAGGTATATATATATATTTTTTTATCTGCCTGAAGTGAGTATGGATACTGCTTGCGTACTCAGCGCCAGACCGTTTTTCTTTCCTGCATTTTTCTCTTTTCCACAACAGCCCCTCCTGGTGCGAGACCCGACCGTTCGTCCGAGGGAGTGTCCCGCAGGCAGCCGCGCTAGGGTCAGGTTGGGTCAGATCTCGGCCCTTGTTACAGGCTCCTCCCAGTTCGACCTTTTGTAGAGCTTGTCAGTTTTAAGGATTTTTTTTTTTTGAGATTCAGATTCTTGTCGGCTTTAGCGATTAAGTTCAAATTAAACCGTTGTCAGACCTTAGGCGGACGGGCGAGGGTGTGCTGGTCTTGTCAGTAAAGAATGCCAACCTTCCTCTGATATTTAGTGCCAGTGAAAGTGTTTTTTTCGTATTGTAAATACAGTTATTTTGTCTTCCTTCTGTGCCGTTGTGATGGACGCATTTAATTGCCTCATCAATTTACAGCCGTTAGGGGAAAATTGCACGCTATCTTGCAAGACAATGCAACGACGTAAGGGCGTGTTGCGAGGTGTTACCCTGTTGGTGTTAATAACCCGAGGATCCGGATCTCCTCTGTTGGCCGTGGAAGTGACTGGCTCTTTGGCAGAATCCACAGTCGCTTCGTGATAAGCTGTTCTGTAGACTACGAAACCCGTATCTTTGTGTGGGATGAGACCGTGGAAATTGTAGCCACTTAAATGATATACAACCGCACCATTTTCTCCTCTCGAGTGTTTTATGAAATCCTGTCTTCTGTTTTTTCGGAAGGCATTACTTCCTGTGTTGATATCCATGATTTTTGTCTCGTGGTTTTCGTTGTATTGTTATAATCTCTTATTTTGTATTAATATTTATAGCCTAATGGCATTTCCTTCTTTACTACTGTATGCCTCATTCTCATATTTTGCCATTTCCTCTTCTTCCCCAGAACGCCGTCACGCACAACTCCCCCTCACCGAAGTCGAAGGTGATACTCGAGTGGGAAGCTCCCTCTGACTTCGAGGGCGATGTCGTCTTCACGTAAGTGCTGATGGGGCTTCGTATGTCTAAGTGTCGGGAATTTTTTTTATTTATTTATTATTATTTTTTTAGATTACTTACATGAGGGAAGTAAGACGAGCCGCATCTAGGTGTAAGTACTGCTGGGTTCTCGAGTAGTAGGAGTAGGTAGGAACAAGGGCTATGTAAGTACTGATATAGACTCTGAATGGAGGATGAATAACTCCGTAGGGATCCAGTGTACGTCATCAGGATTCATGTAATTCTCGTGAAGGTGTGATATTGAAGCGTCAATTGCTTGTCTTGTATTTTTGGATTTTTTTTTACTAATATATTAATTATCATTCATCTATCTGTTATGGATTTGTCTAGATGAATTAGTTTCGATCTCGATCATCGTAAAACTCGGGGAAAACCCGTGATGAACTTGGTCTGGAGTTTCCTCGGTCGGGAAGCTTATATATGTTTATCGTTAATATCTATGTTTACATTTTGTAGAGCGGGTGTTGTGGCGTATCTATGCATGTGAATTATATACACGGATGGAAGGCTTGCAAGAATTTTACTGGCGCCAGGTTGAGTGACCGTTAAAGTGGACTTGTTTCAGTTTGTGTAGAGTTCTCGTTTTCATGTCAAGCCATAAACCACCATCAGATTTTAGAAAGCAAGACAAATTTCAGTATTATTGACTGTCAGTGTCCGTCCGTCTCACTTGGTAGAAAGCGCGTGCGTTCACTTGACATGCTCTGAGTTAGATAAATGATATATTTTCTTTCCAAGCTGAATTATTTATTCACTCTTGACAAAAGTTGCGTTTGAAGTGTGGCATTGTGCGCCAGAAATAAAATTGTGAAAATGTTGGTATGATGAATAGTTGAGTTGGCTGCTTGCGGAATAGTGATATTCTAAAAAAAAAACACTTTTCCTGTGTTATATACGGTTAGATATGCTTGTGCTCATTTTGGTCTTGCATATGTTAAACATTTGCGAAGTCCATATAAAGTTACATCACACGTTGACACCATCCATTGTTAAACGGTATTTGCCTAGTCCTTTCTTTCTGCGTTTACCGTGTAGACATTTCACTACACCCCCCCCCCCCCCCGCCCGCCCGCCCGTGTCTCAGGCGCCCGTGCGGCAACACAGCCGTGATCTCGATGCCGGAGCGAGAGGGACGGGGCGAGAGGGACGGGCGGCGGACGCGCGTGTGTGAAGGAGGCTAGACCGGGCCCGCACCGGCTCCCGCGCCCGCTCTCACGAAAGTGAAAGTGGTCTCTCTCCTTTTCCTTCTCTTCCTCCGCCTTTTCATTCTTCCGTTTCTCTTCTTATTTTTTTCCTCTTCTCTTTCGACTTCTTATTTCTCTCTCTTCTTGTTTTCTCCTCCAGCTACTCTTCTCTCCCCCTTCCTTTCTTCGTTCTTTCCACACTTCTCCTCCTCCTCCCTCCTCTTCCCTCCTCTCTCCTCTCTCCCTCCTCCTCCTCCTCCTCCACCTCTTGCTCCTCCTCCTCCACCTCCACCTCTTCCTCCTCCTCCTCCTCCTCCTCCTCCTCCTCCTCCTCCACCTCTTCCTCCTTCCTCCTTCCTCCTCCTCCTCCCCCTCTTCCTCCTCCTCCTCCACCTCTTCCTCCTCCTCCTCCACCTCTTCCTCCTTCCTCCTCCTCCTCCACCTCTTCCTCCTCCTCCTCCTCCTCCACCACCTCCTCCTCTCCTTCTCCACCTCTACCTCTTCCTCATCCTCCTCCACCTCCTCCTCCTCCACCTCCTCCTCCTCCTCCTCCTCCTCCTCCTCCTCCTCCTCCTCCTCCTCCTCCTCCTCCTTCCTCTTCCTCCTCCTCCTCCTCCTCCTCCTCCACCTCTTCCTCCTCCTCCTCCACCTCTTCCTCCTCCTCCTCCACCTCTTCCTCCTCCTCCTCCACCTCTTCCTCCTTCCTCCACCTCTTCCTCCTCCTCCTCCACCTCTTCCTCCTTCCTCCTCCTCCTCCACCTCTTCCTCCTTCCTCCTCCTCCTCCACCTCTTCCTCCTTCCTCCTCCTCATCCACCTCTTCCTCCTCCTCCTCCACCTCTTCCTCCTTCCTCCTCCACCTCTTCCTTCTCCTCCACCTCTTCCTCCTCCTCCTCCTCCTCCTCCTCCTCCTCCTCCTCCTCCTCCTCCTCCTCCTCCTCCTCCTCCTCCTCCTCCTCCTCCACCTCTTCCCCCTCCTCCTCCTTCACCTCTTCCTCCTTCCTCCTCCACCTCTTCCTCCTCCTCCACCTCTTCCTCCTCCTCCACCTCTTCCTCCTCCTCCTCCTCCTCCTCCTCCTCCTCCTCCTCCTCCTCCTCCTCCTCCTCCACCTCTTCCTCCTCTTCCACTTCTTCCTCTTCCTCTTCTTCCTTTTCCCGACGCAACGAGTTCGAAAATCTTATCAAGGGAATTCCCTCTCATAGTCTACTTCCTCGTCTTCGAAGTTATTCCGGCGCGCATCTCTGATTACTTTCGGCGGCCGCGAGATAGCAATGATGATGGTGCAGCTGGGTCGACCTGTTGCTTGCGATGTAGGTCGACAGCTGAGAAATAATGATAATAATTAGTTGATGAAGCGTCTTGTCTTGCTTTTGCTTTGGATACGCGTTGGGTGGGGAGGGTGGGGAGGGTGGGGGTGGGGGGGTTGTTAAGTTTGTTTGTCTTATATTTTTTTTTGTTGAATATTTTTTGTTTGTTTGTTTGCTTGGCTTTTTGGAGGAGTAAAAGTTTTTTGTGTTTATTATGTGTGTGCTTTTCTGTGTTTGTAAATTGTTGTCTGACGTTTCTTTTAAACAGAAATTAGTTTTTTTGTTGTTGTTTTTGTTTTTGAGCAAATGCGCGTGAAAGTTTACCGCCGCTCTCGTGTTTTCGCTGCTGCTCTTATTGTCTATGCTATTACTTTCTCCCTATATATATATTTTTTGTGTTTTTTGTATTTTCTTCCGTGAACGTGACCGAGCGAGAGAGAACCGTGAAATTTAGGTAATGCTCGATCGGCTTGCTTCACTGGATCGAGATTAGACCTTATAACGCCTTTGAAGAACGGGGCTGACCTACATGACTGAAAAGAGAAAAATTGTAGATCTATTCATTTATTTATTATTGTTGTTATTATTATTATCATTTATTATTATTTTTATAGAAAATGACTTTTATAACCTTTTTCTTAGGGGGGGGGGGTAACTATAAAGGAAAAGTGAACTTGACAGAAAAGACTTCTCAGTGTAAATGGGTGGGCATGGAAGGTCAAAGTTTTAGTGTTCGGGATTTCTCTCGATTTTTTCAGATCACAGGGAAGTGAATATTGGCTTCGTCAGGTTTTGCTCACTAGATTGTATTAACAAAAACGAAGGTCACTTGCTTCTGTTTTTTGTGGCATTTTGTCTTCATTTAGTCTTCGGTTTGGTTAATCAATGAAAAAAGAAAAAACTAGATTTTTTCCTGCCTTTAAACAAACGCGCACACACACACACACACACACACACACACACACACACACACACACACACACACACACACACACACACACACACACACACACACACACACACACACTCAAAACCAGAAGAAAGAAAAAAAAAACACATGAAGCAGAACACTTTTGCGCTCGTATCTTCTCGCATGTCCAAGATGGCTGACCCCAGAGACACCTTATCCGGGAGCGGTGGTCGGCCGCCAGGGGGAGAAAAGTCAAGGATCCCCCCCCCCCCAGTGTGAGTTACGCCACGGATCTCCATTTCCTCTTTCGTGTTCGTGGTCGTTATTTCTTTTATGAGGAAGGGGTATGAGGGAGGGATGCGGGGTGCGGGGAGGGGGAGGGGAGAGGGAGGGGAGGGGTGACGGGCGTATAAGATTCTCCGCGTGTGTGGCTTTGTCTCGAAGGGGTGTGTGTAATTGTGTGTGTGTGTGTGTGTGTGTGTGTGTGTGTGTGTGTGTGTGTGTGTGTGTGTGTGTGTGTGTGTGTGTGTGTGTGTGTGTGTGTGTGTGTGTGTGTGTGTGTGTGTTTGTGTCTGTGTATGTGTGTGCGTGTATGTGTGTGTGTGTGTGTGTGTGTGAAAGTGTGTGTGTGTGTGTGTGTGTGTGTGTGTGTGTAGTGTGTGTGTGTGTGTGTGTGTGTGTGTGTGTGTGTGTGTGAAAGTGTGTGTGTGTGAAAGTGTGTGTGTGTGTGTGTGTGTGTGTGTGTGTGTGTGAAAGTGTGTATGTGTGTGAGAGTGTGTGTGTGTGTGAAAGTGTGTATGTGTGTGAGAGTGTGTGTGTGTGTGAGAGTGTGTGTATGTGTGAGAGTGTGTGTATGTGTATATGTATGTGTATGTGTGTGTGCATGCGTGTGTGTGAATAGTTTCAGAAATACTACAATAACTGACCGAGCAAGATCGCCCTTATCAACCTTACATGCCGGCCACGTGCATTTACATCCCAAAAGTCAACCAAACTGACCATACTCATTTCCAAACGATAAAATACGCATCTCAGGTTAAAAAAAAAAGAAAAGAAAAAACCATCCCTTCTACTTCTCATATAAAATAGTATCCCATATTAAAGTTCTCATATTGAATATTAATAGTATTAAATAGTATTAGAATATTAAATAGTATTAAATAGTATAATAATCCCACCCCCCAAAAAAAACTCGTTCTCAGGGTTTAAAAATAGCCAAAGGAGAGGAGAATAAACGCGACCTCTCCCGGGGTCAGGATCACCTTGCTGGGGGGGGGGGAGGTCGAAGAGCCAGGCTGTTCCTTCCGCCTTCTTTCCTCCCCCCCCCCCATCCCACACCCCTGGGATGACGCGGAGACCGATTTCTTAAAAAAAAAATATTTATTATATATTAGTTATTAGTAGTTCTGAGTTGTATTTCTGTTATTTATGACGTTGTTGGCGTGTTGATTTTGCTTTTTTTTCATCGTCATTTTTGTTATGAGTATCTTCATTTCAGTTATCATTATCATTATTGTTATTATTATTATTATTATTATTATTATTATTATTATTATTATTACTATTACTGTTACTATTATTAGTGATAGTGTTAGTGATGATTAATATCATCGTCATCATCATCATCACCATCATCATCATCATCATCACTATCACCATCACCACTATCATCATCATCACCATCATCACCACCACCACTCGTCCTCCTCATCAGGCCCTGTTCTCCCCGGCGGCGGGCGACCCTCTCGTCTCAAAGCAAGGTCGCAGAGGCAGACCTTGGATGACCTTTGAGAGCGACGGACCGGAACTTGATGTCGGGTCTTGAAAGCAGGGAAATCTGTCGTGAATTTCAGTTTTATGTGTAAATTACCCCCAACGTGTGAATCGCCGTTGAAGCTGAAATAATAATAGAGATTAAAAAAAAAAAAAATGAAGATTAAAGTTGAAGCTTAAAATCATAAGTAAAGATTAAAAAAAAGGAGTAATTTAAAGATGGATAGGAACCGTCCCGAGATGAAAATTTCTCTAAAAGACCATCAACTGAGTTCCGGTTTTGTGGGAAAAGTAGTTATTAATGGTCGTAGGGTCATTTAGCAATAACCTCAAGATAGCATGACAGAGCGATGGTTCAGGAGTATGATATAAATGGTTATTTAGTCGTGACCGCAGAGAATTTAACAGGCTGAGGGAGGAGGCACCGCTGGGGGGAGAGTGGGGTGTGGGGGTGTGGGGTGCTGGAGGGGGGGCGTGTGGGTGCTGGAGGGGGGGATATGGCCTTCACTTGACATCGTCAGGTTGGTCATGAGGGCGCTATTTTCGTGAATTTCTAGGATATTTATAGGTCATTCTAGATTCCCGTGTACCAAGAGCATGTTTGCAGGACGTGTTTGTGTGAATCAAAAAGAGAAAGGAAAACAGAGAGAACAAATGTTGGGGATATGATGTGTCAGACAGACTCTCTCTTTCTCTCTCTGCCTCTTGCTTCCACTGATACATTAAAACTCTCTCTTCTCTGATTGGTTTCCAACATGACAGCAGGTGAAGGGAAGGGAAGGGGGAAGGGGCCGTCTCGACACAGACGCTCCTGCCTGACTGTAACTCTTGTCATTAGTTTAAAAAAATGTGCAGTAATATTTTTTGATGCACAACACTACTGCTTTGTTTCCGGTTAATTTGCTTGGTGGATGTAGATTATGGAGTGGGTCCTCCTCCACCCACTCCGTTCTTCTTGCCGTAGGTGGAGTTCAGAATAACCTTGAACGTGGGCGGCTGACAGGAGTTGTTCTGGCAAGGTCCCGGGTATTATGTTTTCCTGCATTTACTTGATTTCTTGGGGGGGATGGATATGAGAGAACATTCCTTTTAAGTAGGGGACTCCTTGGCACCACTAGTTTTGGATAGTCTATCTTCTGGCAAACTTCCTTTATCACTGTAATGAATACTTATGAAATAAATATCTCTTTAGTAGGAGGTACACCCCCCACCCCCATCCCAACTTTTACTAAATGTTGTAATTCTCGTTTAGATGCAATTGAAAGTCTGAAGTCGAGAGCAATGAAAGAATGTTATTTATGTCCATTATTTTCAATTAGTGTCTCTCTGTTATATACCCACTTTGATCTTTCTATGTCTGATAATGACTTTCCATTGCTCACATGTCTTGTAAAGTGTGGCAGATGGTTCTACCTTTAAAACATTGTTCATACATCTATGTCTACAACACAAGCTGCTTTTCTCTTTATTAAGTTTGAGAAATGTCTGTCTGTCTGGCAGATGTTAAATATTGCCTTAAAATGTTCTTTGTTTTCTGGCAGTATACTCCATATGCACAGTATGTGTTATTGTTTCATGGGAGTACTTAACATTAGAAGGGCAAACTCTATTTATGCATCCATATATGTTTATAAATGGTTTATACAGCAGTATTGCTTCAGTCAGTCAATTTCTAGTTACACTTTTTAGATATCAGTTGGCCCTCTGGCGAATTAGCTTGAAGTTTCTGTTGTGATTTGTGCCTGCTGAAGATCAGATTTTGATGTTAACATTTGAAAGAACAATGGAGTTTACTCATAAATCAGTTTTTCTATAAGGATATTGCCTAGTGATGCACCAGAAACCTTTATGCTAATGCCTGCGTTTATTTCCAGGGGATCCTTTGTGAAGTCGTACAACACCTTCTGGACTGGGGTTACATCAGAGAAAGTGACCATCACCAAGCGCTCGGTTCCTCAGGATTCTGGCACACCCACAACAGCAAACACATCCCCTTCCACAACTACCACTACCACTACAACCACAACCACAACCACTACCTCAAGCCCAGCTCCTGTAAGCCCAGATGTAGATACAAATCCTGCAGAGAATGCCGGTGATGTTGTCATCAGTGTGGTTGATGCACCTAGTGTGGCTGTAGTTGAGAATGACCTCAGTGAGGCTGATGATAGTTCTCTTCCTCCTGCCCCTCCCACATCTAGCTCCTTACCTACAACTTCCCCATCCACAACTACCATTAGTCCCAGTAGTTCCGATAGTGAGAATGATAGTAGTCCTAGTACAGAAAGAACCAGAGAAACCCAGGCCCCAAGAGGGACGACAACGACATCAACTCGCAGATTTGGTTTGTTTAACCGCTTCAAGACCACCACGACCACCACAGCAAAGCCGACCACCGTCAGGGCCACCACCACACGTCGTCCCAGGCAGCCAGTTGAAGGCCAATCCATTGTTAGTACTCTGACAGAAGAATGAGTTGCATTATCGGAAGTCTAGGGTTTAACTTGTAATGGTATTAAAAAGATCTTGCAAATAAGAGAAAAATAATTTTTTCCATGCAGTTATAAGTAGTTCTTTTTTCAATTAATTGTATATGGTTCAAAAGTTTATGTTAACTACAAGCAGGGAAATATCAGTTAAATACTATAGAATTAAAAGATGATTTTCAGTTTGAGCAATTCTCAAATTCTTCATAGTTATTCTATAGAAAAAAGTAAGTAAATAAGCAGACTACTATATTTCCCTGTATTGTAAAACATAGGTTTTTTTGTACTTATGGTGGATTTAGAACACTGAGAATAAGTAGAATAATGTATTTGATTTTATACATTTTGATTTTACACTAATTCCTTTTGATTGAAAAATGTATGAGACATTTAAACAGGAATTATTTATGGTGAAGGTTTATCTAATTAATGCAACATATTTGAAATATTGTTTCTGATGATAAACATAACTGTCTTAAACATATTGCTTGCATTTGCTGGTGACGGAACTTATAAACGACCTGCATGAATATACCTTAAGCAGGAGTCGGATAAGTACAGCATCGGAAAGGGTCTGGTGTGGCTCGCTGGTCCTCGGATTTTCGTCCAGATAGGAAAAGGAAAAAGGAAAAGGTTTTCTCTACAGTGTTTCTTTTAGTGGAGGTGGTGTTTGGGTTACTGGATGCATGGATGGAATGTGGTGTGAATGGTCTTGCATTTCATATGGAATGTTGCATGTCTTATATTTACTTTTAATATTTTGAGATATTATTATTTCTTCTTTCCCTTTTTTTCTTTTTTTTTCTTTTCTTTGATATTTTTGGTGATGGTTTACATAACTGATAATGGTTCCATATATTATACAATATTTGTTGCCTATCCATTATTAAAATTTGCTACTCTTCATTAACCTTTCTAATACTTCTACTGTTATTAAGTTTTGCTCTTCCAAGTCTTTGTCTCTTTAATGCTTTTGCTGTTACATTCATTGCCGTTTCATTACCATTATTATATCCTTTTATAATTGCAGTCAGAATTAAGAATACAGATTCGCTATGTGTGAATAACCTGTATCCTTAATTTTCATTGTATGCTTTACAAAAATTTAAGAATGTGGTGATAAGGAATTACTTATTGATATTAATAATACCTTTATGTAATGACTAGAATGTATAGACACCAAGATCCATTGATTTTTAAATTTTTAAAAATATTTTCCAACCAATTTATATTTGTAACTGATGGTATATATTCACCTCAAACTTACATAACTTTAAAACATGACTTCAGTGCTAAACATTCCTCTCACTTTTGGGTTGGTTATTTTGGTTATTGAGATAATTATGGCTATAAACTTGGGCCTATATTGGAAGCACATTGGCATAATCCTCTCTGCAATATGCTACATATTACATTTTATTACATTACAACAAACCCATCGCATAAAGCCGGAAAACAACCCAGCACAGTACAGTATGGCATTATGCTATAATATCCTACACATGATAAACAGATTTACTAATGGATTTTTTGAATAACAGATATCCCAGAGTTTGCAGCGTTCTATGGAGGACATCTACCTCGGTTGTGGCCAGATAAAGGGCTGTTTTGGGCTCCCGTCTGGCTGTGAAAATGACCGGAAGTATGTTGACAATGTGCTGACTTATATTAACCCATTCGCCCCAAAAATACATGCCGTGCCCACTGAAATATACGTTTATTTATTGTATTTACACATAGATGGCTCTACAAGTTCTCAATCACCAAATAGCCAGTTATCAGAACTATCTATCTCACCTGTTTACCCTCTTCCTTCACTTCAGGAAAGGGTCTTTTGTATCATTTCATTGTCTAAACGATTTTAATGACAATTTGATAATCATTACATTAATAATAGTAATAATAATAAGAGTATCGTTAGTAATGTTATTAATAAGAATAACATTTTCCCGCCAATTCAAGTAATGGGAAAATCTGGATCGGTAACTAGGGTCCACTGATAGACTCCTTGCCGGCTGAGCTCATGTGGAGCCATCTGTATGTAACAAAATTCACCAAAAACTGCAGGGGACAGAACATAAATCTGAGGCGAATGGGTTAAGGCAGCTTCATATAAGTTATTGGAAATATATGGAGATTTCTTCAAGGAATTCTTAACTGTAACTGAACTGGAAATATATTTAATCAGTTTTGCTTAACAGAGAAAATATGTGAAGAGAATTTTGTGTAATGGAGCTAGTATACATTCATGGAATTCGTTGTAACTATATGGAAATTTATTTAGTCAGGTGTGTGTGACTGCTGATGAATGAAAATATTTCTTGTCAATTTAAGCAATAAAGTAACGGTTGTTGCCAGTTGTATGTAAACTGATGGTTGAAAAAATCCTTAATGCCTGTGGAAATTTTAAAATATCTTCATTTTCTCCCACAGCTGTAAAATTCTGATGACTTACACAAGAGTTGCCACGGGATATCAGTTTGAGATCTTGGGAGAGGCCGACACATCTAATTATGTTGCTGCTGCTCTTTCAGATGATGAAAAGATGGTGAGAATTTGTTTTAGATGCTTGTTTGTCTGAAATGGAGAAGATATAATGTCAATAGTAAGTTCTGTTGGTACTTTATCATCTTTATCTTCTCCTTCTGCTTCTTTATCATCTTCTTCTTCTTCTTCTTCTTCTTCTTCCTCTTCCTCCTCCTCTTCCTCTTCCTCCTCCTCCTCCTCCTCCTCCTCCTCCTCCTCCTCCTCCTCCTCCTCCTCCTCCTCCTCCTCCTCCTCCTCCTCCTCCTCCTCCTCCTCCTCCCCCTCCTCCTCCTCCTCCTCCTCCCCTCCTCCTCCTCCTCCTCCCTCCTCCCTCCTCCTCCTCCTCCTCCCCCACCCCCTCCTCCTCCTCCTCCTCCCCCACCCCCTCCTCTTCTCCCCCCTACCCCTCCTACTCCTCCTCCTCCTCCTCCTCCTCCTCTGCTGCTAAAGTAACCATATCATCTTTTTTTCTAATGCCTTATTTTTTATTTTAGCTAAATTTATGTCTCTATTATGTCGTCCTCTCTTCCCCAGGGCTCAGACAGTGTGATGGCCTGTACAAGTCTCAACGGTGAAGTAGATGTCGTGATGGCTTTTAATAATGGAAAGAATAATGAACTACTGACTAATGTGAGGAGACTTTATCTTCCATTTAGTTTGATTAAACTCTTTCTGTTATTGATTTGATGTAGGAGCTTGAAAAAATCATAGTTTGTGATTTCTCACAAATATGAGGTGTTTCTAGATTATTTGTAAGATTGAAATGATATGTAATACTATACATAATATGTATATATTGTCTTATAGTAGATTAATATAAATATCTTTGTCTAATGTTAGGCCTTCTGATAATTTTTACAGTAAATTTGCATCTGATGAATAGAAAAAAAATTACATATAAATGAGAATTTCTTTGCAGAGTAAATATGGACTTAGTGATGTCAAGACATTATATTCTAATGGAGAGCTGTATTGTTCATTCATTCGGCAAACGGTCACAGAAATTAAAGGAATAACTTTTAATCTGTCTTCTGACCGTTACCACTTGATGCTGGCGAAAGGCCCTGCTTATGAAAGTGAGTAGCATTTCCCTGCCTTTCCTTCATACAGTCGTTCCTAAAAGTATCTGAAAAATAATGGTTTGTACAGTATAAATAAAAGTGAAGAGGATATTATTTGATACATGTTGCTTGCAGTTGCAGCAGATGGTAGACAAATTGTTAGAGAACGTAGTCCACCATTCCAGCTTTTTCATTGTAGATGGTTATTGTGCTAATTGTCAGAAATGCTGTCATTGTTATGGATAGGATTTTCTGTCCATACTACCTTATCTCATTATGTAGCTAAGACATTTTTCCTCTTTATATATAAGATTTTTTTTCTATGAAAGAAAGATCTTCTATATGTAGACATTACTTTCTTTATTACTTGTGGAGCTTCGATTATTTAGGTCTTGCCATTTATTGTTCATTTTAGATGTTTATGCATTTGGATATAACTTTTCATAAGCATTCTTTTATTAATATTTTCCTTTTTTTTTTTTCTTTTTTTTTTTACTTGATGAAAAAGATCATCCTAGCAAAAGTTAATGGTAACTTGTAACAAAATCCCAATATTGCAGATGGATTACGTTACCACGAGAAACGCCTGGCCTCCTCTGGCACTTCTTCCATGAGTGAATTTGAGTACCTGGAAGCCGCGAGTGAATTGTTCAAAACTCTGCATGCCTGTTTCATGATTGGTGCATGGATATGTGCAGCTTCATGTGGCATCATCCTGGCCCGCTATTACAAGCAGACATGGTTGAAGAGCCGCTGCTGTGGCATTGATCAGTGGTTCCATGTATGTTGCGAGTGTCCTGGAAATTATCATTAAAATAGTGCATGTCTATGACTATGAATATACAAGTTAATAAAACTAAAAATGCAATACTTTCCTTAAAGTGATCAAGTTTCTGTGTTTCTTTGTGTCAGTGTTGAGAGGAGATGTACTTTGTTTTTCTATTACAGGAAAAAGTGTTTGGGTTAATGATGGGAACATCTTCATTTATTGATATGAAATAATACCTCTATCTCAATTAAAGAAGGATATAGCTAAAAGCAGTTTCTATTTCAAATGGCTTGAGTGCATTTATCCATCATGTTTTGTCACATAAGCAGATCAGCTAATCTTTACATGCTAGTGCAGTAAATAAACTATAATGGGAGAGCAGAAAACACAATATAATGTGTAATCTTTCTTTTGATTCATTGTTTTTGTTCAAGGAATCCTCCTAACCAGAGCAGATACTGATACTAGCCATCTTTCATTTTCAGTTCCACAGATTTTTCATGGGACTGACATGGGGTCTCACAATTGCTGGAGTCGTACTTATTGCCTATTATCTTAAGGGATGGACAGAGCTTGATCCCAAAGTAAACCCACATGCTATTCTTGGTGTTGTCTCAACTGGTGAGTTAACCGTTGCACGGAGAATTAGTTCATTAGTTCTGATATTGTATGTGAGGAGTGAAGTTATATCCCAAACAGCCCTAGTCATTATTTTAATGGTTTGTAATATGCTTCTTCAATTCCAGGTTTGTGTTTCATTCAGCCATTTATGGCCCTATGTCGCTGCGCCCCAACTCACCGAAGGCGTCCCGTTTTCAATTGGCTCCACTGGTTTGTTGGCAACAGTGCGCAGATCATTGGCATTACTGCAATCTTCTTTGGGCTTGAGTTGGTCAATGCTCCTTCTTGGACCATGTTCATTCTGATCATCTTCATTGCTTTCCACTGCGTGATGCATCTTATTTTGTCAGTAAGTTACTGTTTTCAGAGGCTGTGTGGTTAATGTACAGCTGAAGTTACTTGTTGCATTGGTTCCTATCCTATTTTATATTACTGTTGAGATTTATTTTTCTTATCAAGTTTGTGAAATTTGCATGTACCTACTTCATTGTAATTGGGGGTGCAAACTGCAATTTGCAACAGCTGCTGTCTGGGCTTGGTGATTTGTATATTTAGCAATCCATAGCAGGTAGAAGTTGGAATTTTTGACACACAGGTTGCTTGTGTGTTTTTTTCATTTTTTGTAATCTGGCGTGCTATGTTTGAGAGACAACATACTGAATATACAGAAAAATCACATGACAAAAAACATGGAAAAAGGTCTTTGTAAAAGGAGGGTTTACTGTTTGTATTTTTACCAGTATTTCTGGTACTGGTGACATTAATTATTAGTTTTAAAAAGGAGATTAAGCCATGGCACTGGGAAGGCAGGGGCATACATGCCATGTTCAAGGTGATTTTAGCTTATTAATTTTGTTTGCTTACAGCTGGCAACTGTTTAGTTGTACCTCACCTTTTAACCCATTTCCACAATTTTTTTTAGCAAGAGTCTATTTTATTTTGTATTGTAATAATCATAAAGTTGGTAATAATATCAATAGTATCATTATTAATAGCACTAGGAAAAAATGCTTAACCAGAAAATTTAAGGAATTGGGAAATCAGAGGATGTTGTGTAGGCTGGGTAGGCTATGCTAATTGACTCCTTGGTTGCTGAACAGTTGATTGTGGAACCGTCTATGTATAACAAAGGAGAACAACAGTGGATAGTTCATGTTGTATTGGTTGCTAGTGGGTCAAAATCATAAAAAAAAAACAAAAAAACTTTCAAGTCATGACTGAAGTGATCCAATTTTTTTTTCCTTTTTTTTTTGTGGTCAAGAAAAAAGAAAATTCCCGTGAATATACATTATTGGTATCTTTGCGCAGATTGGACAGTGTGTTAGCGACTCGAAGCAAGAACGTAGGAACAACGTATTCCCAATGAAGGAAATGAACGGCAGCCGAAACCCACTACACCCTGTGGAGAAAAGGACAGATGCTCCCGTGAGTATGAAATGTCTTAATAAGATGCTTTTGTTAAATCCTACTTTTTTGTACCCCTAATATAACTGCTTGTAAAAATTTGAATAATACAGTGTTTTAAATGATGAAGTAGATTTTGTACTCTAGCAGTATTTTAAGTAATAGAATGTTGTATGTATTCCTTTAATACATTAAAGAATATAGTTTGTATTCCATTAACACATTAATGAATACTTGTTATTTCACTTTCTAGGGATATATTATAATACAATTTAATTTTTTTTTTTTTTTTTCTTGTGTTCCAGGGTGCTACATTCCGCAAAGCAATGCTGGCTCTATACTTCATCGTAAATTGGCTGATCACCGCACTTCTCATTCTCATTGTTGTCGTGGGCGAAGACCAGTTGAAAAAGTGGAATTGGATTTTCTGGGAGGATTAACAGCATCTGTCCGGTTTGCGAATGAAATCAGTGTCTGGATCTTCAGTGTAGTAAAATTGGTATTCATCTTTTCCTGAATGGTTAACAGACGAGGCTGTATCATGGGCTTGGAGTTAGTTTTATTTCAAGAGGTTGTAACGACTTTTTCTTTTCTTCATTTTTTTTTTAGACTGGAATGAAGTTTCCATTTTTGTATATCAGATTTTAGCAGTCTAGAAGTGATTATTTGTAATAAAAATGATGCAAGAGTCAATATTTTACTACAGGTAACAATTTTGTTATTGTAAATACAGTCAGCAAGTAACTGTTGAAAATGCTTTAGTAGTTATAGGTACTAGGATATCTAGATGATGTCACTGTAAGAT